TCTGATCGCATCAGCAAAAGTTCCAGAGGGAGAGAAATGTAATGCGTGCCATGCGATTACTCTCTACTTTTTATTCTCAATCCTTCAATTAATATACGACTATATTAGTGTTGCTGTCGCCGTTAAGCGGTATAAGTTAGCATGCATGCTATCAAGATTATGGCTCAAGTCGATTATGTCATTAAACGTTATTTGAAACACGTCACGAAAGATGACATGTCGCGCAAGCGTTTCGTTCATGGAGGAGATACGTGATTGCGGGGACCTAAATCCGCGATTCCCAAGATGAAATGTACACGAACGATAGATATCACCGGCTCTGTCCCGTTTCGAGTATCGTTGTTATTTTCAGCTTGGCAAAAGAAACTTATATATTTCAGACTCATGAGGAATATATACTTCTCGTGTCGCAGCCACGATTACGACGTGTGTCGGAAAATGAGAGAGAAATCGTAGCTTTTTTTTGCTCGAATCGTCTGCGAGTAAATAAGATACGAAAAAAAGAATTGATACACGATTTCTCGTTTCCGACGCCGTAATCCAATTTCTATGGCTGCCAAGAATAATAGATATCAGGTGTTCTAGGGATAAAATAATTTGCGAATTGAACGCCCAACGTTTCAGCGAAATGCGCGTGCTCTACGCCTCTACGCATATGTATATATATGTGTGTGGATGGTGTCTATGTTTCTAAAAAAAAAAAAAAAAAAAAGAATGAACTCATAAATGATTCACTAGGTATCTAGCTAAGTAGCTAGTAACTAATCTCTCAAACTATATATAAATATGTATATATAGATCTGGATTATTATCTTGGTATGTACCTGGCTCAGGCTTCTAAAGCTACTTGTACTGGCGCTGCGAGCCTGCAAACACAAGTACAGTATAGGTCACCAATTACCACGCCATTGTTAGTTGGAAGAGTATAAAGATATTGTGTATAAGGAAAACACACTGACAATATACTACTATAAACACGGTGTGTGTTGGTTTGATGGTGCGCAAGTGCTATTCGTAAGAAAGGAACACAAGTGAGATATAATGCATTTCGTAAATTCAGAATATAAGTTACGCGCTTGGTACGGCGAACAACGCGTGGGCTGCAAAGAAATTCTTATACATATATGTTAGTTGTATATGTAAGTGTGGGGCAAAAAAAGTCTATTTCGAACTAGAAGAGGAAGGTAAAGTTCAAACTGACATCTGCAGCTGATACTTATCGGCGGACTTCTTTGACACAATGATATCAAAATTTAAGTCAACCGCAATAGAATGAAATATTAAGAAATAGAAAAACAGAATATTAATGTTATTAAATTATATCATAAAAAATAGCGTTCTATAAACTGTTTCTAAAACTTGTTATATCAAAGTTTATGAAGATATTGTAAACATGCGAAAACACTTTTCTTAATCAACAGAAAAAACATGTGTTAGTTTTAATTCATGATTAATTTACAAATCGTTAAATTGTTGTCAAATATTGCAACAGATTAAGAGTGTCACACATTGATAGCATAGCGTGAGCTACTAGCGTGTGATTACGTGTTTTGCATAGAGAATGATGTTCATCAAGAGACCTCAATTTAATGTTATGTTAAGAGTCGAGGCACCGAAATGTTAAATTACACAGATCACGTGTAATTGTAATTTGATCAGACTTTGATTTCCTTTCCAACCCGAATTTCTACCTAGCTCGTATAACTTCGCAAATATATTTAATCCAACCATTGCACCTAAATTAAATCTATGTTTCTAAATCACATAAAAAATTCGAATAACGAATTTAATATGTCATGTAATAAAAAAATGTCGCCGCATAGTCGCTAAAAATTTTACGATATATCTAAGATTAAAATTTTATTCATTAATCTTATAATCTGTTTGAAGATGAAATACAGTATTCAAATATTATTGGTGCGATTAAAAATTAATGCATTGTCCGCATAAGTAATAATTGCATCCGCGAAATATCGTCGGATAGAGCTCCTCTTAAAGTAACGATTGACTTAATTGATGAATTGACGTTCTCCTTATTCCCGCGCACAGTCTATTTATCGTAAGGGAAAAAAGGGCGACCGTGAAATCGGGAAGCTGTCACGTCGGCGAGTCGTGACGGGTTTACCGAGCGAAGTGCGACGCATCGATCGGACCTCGCTTTTGTTTCGACGGAAACTGTTTCCTTTCCGACACACCCGTTTACGTTGCGCGTTAAATCGAGATCGACTCTATTTGTTAACACCGGACCTACTTTACATTCGCTTCTCGACGGTATCATTTGGCGTTAAACGAGGGAAAATTCGATTCGATACTTACCGCATTCATTTTAATGATTCTTCGATATTCTCGTTTTTCTGAATACCAAACCATGAAAATATGTCACTCAATTTTATCGTCTCTATCGGAAAACTCGTGAACTCATGAATTATAGAATCAAGAGAGCATTTTGTTAAAATGTAAGTACGTAATCTAATGTCGTTAAATCTAATGTGTGGCTAGCTCGGTAATGAGAAAATTATTTTTTCTGTCACAAATTATTTATGATTTTTATATAGGATCAAAATCATAAGAATTCGTGATTAATACAATTTTTATTTTTATAGAGTAGGATAAATTTTAAATATCTTTTTGTATATCATTAGCAATTATACTTTCAAATACTCTCTTATTTATATATTCTAAAATAAATGAATTGTAAATTTAAAAAATCGAAATATATACATATGTAGAATATATTAATAAAAATGTACAAGTTAATAATTTTGTATTTGAACGTAACACTTATAAAGTGCAATTACACACAGATCGGAAATGTTAAGAAATAAAATATTAAATTTCCGAAATTTTCGGCAATAATGTGTGTGTGCAAATGCATGAAATAATAGAAACGTGAGTAAGCGCGTATCGGAAAAACGTCTCAAATATTGACAAAACAAGTTATGCAATTTTGATGAACTTTTGAAATAGTGTGCGTACATGAGTACATGTATGTGTGTATGTGTGAAACTTCGATCGATATCGTCGTATTATCGGTCGTTTGAAAACTTTTCCTTCTCCTTTGTTGTCGCGCACGTGTTATTAATTATGCGGACACGTGCGAAATATTAGTTACGCGCGCATACATTTATGCTTAATTTTCTCTTCAATCAATTATATAGTTTGTGATAAGTTCATACGAATAGCGACGTTATTGATATATGTACGAAGGATTGGAGCACATTTTTATTTTCTGTGCTTTTTCGCTCCCTTCGCCAAAATTCTTTGATATCATATATTGACCGCTGTAAAAAAGCATTAAAATTATAATCTACAAATATCTATATTTATATGTGCAACTGCGTTTTGTAGTTGCTTCACACTCGTAGAATCGTGACGTTGAAACATTTCAATTAATGTTTTCTTGTTGCACTGCTAATAATTGTTTTTCATTATAAATTCTCTGAAAGTTCTAACTCTGCATCGCCAATCATTTTCTTAAAGTATCCCACATAAATTTGCTTCTTTAACGCAAGTTTAATCCACCACTAATTGAGTTGAAAATATATATTATGTGCAAAGTAATTCTTATTTACTCCAAATGAGATATCATTTTTAAAAAATATAATAATCTAGAAAATGACACTAAGCGTTATACGTAGTTTATTTTTCCCGACCACAATTTCTAGCAATTAAAAAAAACTTTACATAGAAAAAATTCGCGGAATGACTGCTTTTTATGCATAGTGGCTTACCACCGTTATTATAACTGCATGTAACTTTTCCAAGCGATTAAAGACCGCACGTAGATTGCATATATAATATTCATTACATGGAGTATAGTACTGCGGTGTTTTTACATACAAAGAGAAAATACGTGCGGAACAATTCTCAATTAATTTCGCGCGTAATTCCGTCATATATAAGAAGTCCTCGTTTAATAAACGCTTAGTAAAGTACGACTGCGATAAGTTTCACTGTCTACCATATATTTCACGCCTATCGTTCCGCGAAATTAATTGCCCTATAAAAACGAGCCGACTCGTTTACTCTATATCGTCTCGCGTGATCCGCGTACGATATTAGCCACACCCGAGTGTTTGGCGTTATTATACATTCACCGTTATGTATGTTTCTCCTCACGTACTATTTCAAAGCCGAGCTGTCGTCGTAATATAATTCCTCGAGCATGTAATTCCAGCCTAACGATTCACGACGGACTAATATTATTTCGATTTGACGTATTGACATTTGTCGATATCGTTCGACATTGTTCGCGCCCCTCTTTTTATCTCCCTCCACAATAAGTAATTCAAAAGCTATATATATATATTTCTTTTTTAATAAAAAAGAATAACTTTTAAGGGGACGACAGCCTCCAAATGGAGAATTAGATTGTAATGTCAATCGAATCGACTTTCTGTCGATATTTACGCGCGATATACGCGATAAGAATCACTGAAGTTCGAAGAAGTAAAATCGCAAAATCATGGTGAAACTTGAAAGGTCGGGCGATTTAAAAGTCGCGCGATGCGTGAATATAATGACAGAATTCGTATCTATTTATTGAGAGACATAATCGTGTGCGATCTTTACCTTGCTCCGGTTTCGCGGTGCGAAGTCCTCTTTGCTGGCTTTCCTACGCTTGTCCTTGAGGATCATCCTCGCCGCGGCGAACGCCATCTTGTCGAAGCACTCTTTTCGATCCTCGTGAAATAAGCGGATATAACACGTCGAGCGGTTTTAACAATTAACGAGCTCTTTGCGAACACAGGGTGTAACAGGAGTATCACCGATATCCGTCAGTGTATATATAACACGAAATAACAATATTCCCTCTCTCTCCCCCTCTCTCTCTTTTATTGTTGCTATTGCTTGTCGATCGACACGCCCGTGCGCGTGTGCACGCGCGCTTATTAATTATACGTTACGTATGCGATATATTTACAAAGTGTTTGCTTCGTACATATGTATATATTTGTGCGCTCGTATATATGTATATACTTCGGTGTATAACCGGGGGATAATTTATTATATAGCGAACTACCAACGCGCTAGGTATATATATATGTCGCGATTGCGCTATTCCTTCTATATCGCGACCCTTATCGTTAACGGTTTAACTACCGCCTATCGTATCGTCATCGTCGTCGTTATCCTCGTTCTCGTTCTCGTTGCCGCTGTTTGTCGCAGCCTTGTCTCTCGACCCCGATCTATTCCCTTTAACGTTATTTTCTCTCTCTACTTTCGGAGAATTTCAGCTTTCGATATCTCTCTTCCGAGGAGATCGTTCAGAGATAGATCGATCGATGCGAAGACGAAGCAAGACGCGCGTCGTTGAACACTATGTCGTTTACGTTTTTTTTTTCGTCATGGAAGTCGACAAGCCCGACCAATCGCTCACTTCATCGCGACGGCGACCGCCCGACCGGTGTCCGTGAGCGGACCGGAAGCGGACCGGGAAGTGACGTTTCTCCTGCCGGCGACGGTTCTTCCCGGGTTTGCTGATGCTCGGTGGCGGGATCTCGCGAAAGCTCGTCGGGAACATTTGCCCCGCCGTGACGTGGTGTGTGATTACGCGCCTCTTGATCGACACACGTGCCGTTCCCGAATTATTGGAGGAGCTTACCGCTCCGCGAGTTCGCGCAGGATCGCGGATTTGCAGACACCTCTCTCTCTCTCTGAGTGTGTATGTGAATTTTCCTCGTCGGCGATTAGCGCTCGCTAGCGACGGTGCTTCTCTCTGCGTCCAATTCGGCTATCCTAATTACGACCATCGATCTAGAAAGAAAGGAGAATATGGTGTCTCACGTCGTGTGCTTGGCCTCGTTTTCGCGAGATCTACGTTCTACACGCGAGACTCGCATGATCGATCGCAGTAGTTAGCGGCAGCTCGTTTCCGGTGGAAGGAGTCGACCAAAAGTTCGATAGAGTCGATGAGAGCGGAAGGAACATTTAAAGGGTATTATATTTTTAGCACGAGAGGATCAGGAGGTAACCTTCGACGATTGATCTATCCGATCTCTGTAAAGTTGATGGCATCTCATCTTTCAAAAGACTAATTTTTTTTAAAGTTCTGAATACCCCGAAGAGTTCGAGTTCCTTATTAATTTTAAAAAGTTGTAAAAATTCTGGCGAATTAAGTCCAAAAACATTGATGAATTTTAGGGGTGCTAACTTCACAGAATGAAATTTTTAAATCAACGATAACATTAAAATGCAACAATTTTCAAAAAAATTTTTTGAGCATTCGATTCAGGGTGCACTCATTGTCGGAACTTAAAAAAAAATAGTTTTTTGAAAGATGAGGTATCACAAAGGTTTCTATCAGATTATATTCCCCATATTTAACGTAAATATATCAGAATGTACAAGTTGATTCTGACATTTGAAGAAAAATGGATATAGCACGAAAATTTGCAAAAATCAATTAAATGGAGCAAAAGGAATGATTAAAAGACAAAGAATGAAATCTTGGCACATCACAATAGACAAGATATACACATTGTGTCTGAATGAAAATAAAATATTCTGTTAACGTCACACGTTGCCAGCATTTTAATGCATACATCGCGAAATTCCGCATTCGTGCAACCCGGTCGCAAAATGTTTATTCAACTAGGAGCTTTGCTGTCATCCTTGTTGTTCCGCACGCGTCGGTAGACACAAGAAGAGAGAAAGAGCGACACGTCTCTCTATCTGTCTAAGAGATAGAAAACCTTGAGAACCCACGTGCAATTTTTTAATATTTTAACGCACGTTATCGGACATTCCGAGCGACATCATGATGGTCTCCCGTCATTCATCGTTGATCAGATATAAGCTTCGATAGGTTGATTTAGTCAGGAGTTGGATGGCCTTTGTAATATTGTAAACGGATGGAAAAACTGGGAAATTTATATAAACTTTCAAAGTTTTTCTTAATGAAAGGAGAACGCGCGCGGTATGTATATCCCGTGCCTTGAGAATAATTTACAAAATAGCAAAGGAAGATGACGAAACCGACATAAATCTCTTAAACACTTCTGTTATTTCTCGGTTATTAAATGCTGGATTTAGAACTTACTTTCGAACTTGATTTCGCTTGGTTAATTTACGTAAAAAATTTAGTTTATGCATTCTCTCTTTCCTCATTTACATGCTACATTGGCTTTTATCTATTTTCTCTCTTTCTCTCTCGCGAGAGTTCTTGAAATTTAAAAACTGTTTTCCCCTAGGACTTTCTTTAGCGAATTGCGTAGTATAACTGCGATAATAGAGAGAATGGAATATTTTTTCCTCGATAATATTTTTTTATTTTATATTTCAAATTTGCTAATAAAACTTAATCGAAAGTAAAACTTTGCGCAAGATCAAACGAAATTTTTGTAATAAAGTAAAATTAAATTTAAAAATTAAATTTAAAAGATAAAGCTTGTTGTAACGAAATTCCATTGTTTAAAGCTAGCGGAACAAGAGATGATTGATAGACGTGTCGAGATAAAATTCAGAGAGAGAGAACAGAGTAACGAGCTGAAATTGCGTATCCGCGTTGTGATGCTAATGGAAAATCGGAACTTTGAATATAATTGTACTCCGCCAATTGTAATAATATGCACAACTATATGTATACGTATACATTTCTCTAAATGTGATTATTCTGGCTATTATCGTAAGAAGAATGTTGGAAAATCCTACCAAGCGATCCAAAAAGATCTCTCTCTCCTACCGAGAACGTGAAATGATACGGGAATGCCGATACTAAACAAAGACGGACGAGGAATCATTTTGCACGTCCCCCTGTATCGCGAGAGAGCTTTATTGTCCATTCTTGCAAATCGAAACGTTCAATTTCTCCTGCTCTTCCACTCATCTTCGGTACTCTCGCGGGAACTTGGCGTGTACGAGTAGTATTGATCATTCCCAGGCTGCAGCCCCCTTCTTCCCACTTCTCGTCCTCTCTCCTCCCTCCCTTCCCCCCAGTATTCTCCGACCATCATTCCGCGTCCTCCGACCTCCGATCTCTGACCTCCGACCTCTGTATCTAAACCTAACCCTCCTACAGGCTGCATCTGTCCTTGCCCCCGGGCATCGCGATATTTGATGCATTTTTGGTTGCATCTTTCCATGTCATCAAGATATATTTTTATATATTACATGTGTGTATGTATATACATGCACATACATATACGTATTTTATAAAATTTGTTTAAATATTGAATCAATAAAGGAATAAAACTGATCTATATATAATACGTATATATGTAAATAATAAAAATGTAATTCTTTTATTTTTTTAATAACCATTATTTGTTTAATAAAAATTAACAGAGTTATTATAAACATATTTATCTTGTAGAAAAAAAACCGATAATGCATTGCCAAAACATCGCCAAAGATTGATAAATGCAAAATTTTGAAACGAGAATTTATCACAATAACAGACTCGGACAAACAAACTTTTTTTCCCAATGGACAGCCAGATGGCACACACGCCAGAAATTTACTATATGTTAAATTTACACCTGTTGCCGCTAATAAGCGAATTTGACATTTGTCGTTAGATGCATCCGGCAGTCACATAACCGGTTGCTGGTCAGAATTCAACACTATGATTAAAAACGCGATGTCCCGCTTTTCACGAATGTATGAAGATTCGGATTTCAAATATACGAAAATGCATGTATGTGTGTATGTATAACGCACACGAATGCGCGCGCACAATTATCCAGGTTCACGTCCTACTTACGATATCGAACTGCATAAGAGTTGGCTGCAAAATATTTCTGCCATTGACCGTTCACTTGAGCTTACAATTACAATGTAATTATACTCTAATATTTTGTAATAAAATATTCTTTCGATCCAAATTTACATTTTGAAAGCACGTGGATTATTTAAATTTATTAAATTTTATTATGTTATAATATATGTAAATAAGTGGAAATAACGAGTATATGTGATATACATATGATGCAATAATTCGATGTACATAATATTTAATAAAAATTGCATAAAATTAATAAAATTTTGAAATCAAGTTAAAATGTGTAAGTTTGTAATATCTCTTTCTGCATATGTATTAATATTATGACAACATTAATTATATTAAATGTAAGACAAATAAAATAAGCTGATAGTCCATAGTAGCAATCGCCATTTAAATGAAATATTCATTAATGAAAGAGCCATCAACTCTAATGAAATTCAAAATATATGTATTATACATCGTTGTATGTATTACGCATCGTTGAAAAAAAATTCCAAGTATTTTAGAATCAATCTGCGATATCATAATACGTGTAAAACGCTGATAAGCTTTCCACGAATGCGAGTATTTGCGAGATCGATCGAATATTAAATGAAACTGCGGGCTTCAAACCTGCGAGGCAGAAAGCAGGATTTCGTCATTTATCGTTTCAGTTAGTTTTCAGAAAGCGTAGAAATTTTACGCTTTTATTTGCCCTTTGAAACGATATCTGTCAACGCGTGGCTTTTTTCCCCCAGTCATTATTTCGCCATTTATTCGCGCGACTGATGGAAAACGGGTGGATGTAAAATTTATCATTCACTTCACACCGACGTCGAGTATTACATGTTGATTAATTGAATTGAAACAATATTCGTATTATCGCGTCGTTCACGTCGAATTACTCCAGCGGTACTAGTGCTCGAGACATTATTATTGAGACGATACAAGCGAGAAATGATATATCAATTAAAAAACAAAAGAGAACAATGAAATTTTACTGGCACCAATAAATTGTAAAAAAAAAATACAAAAGAATTACGCAAACAAAAACATGACATATCAGTTATTGAGACGCACGGCAAAAAATGATATATCTGTTAAAAACCAAAAGGGAACAATAGAATTTCGACAAAATCAATAGATTGAAAAAATGCAAAAGAATGTTCAATCACTTATAAACTGTTTCGTCGATAACGAACAGTAGAAAATTCTTGTTCGACAAATCACGGCTATAAAATATAACAGTTTTTGAATAAATAAAGTTAAAAAAATATTTAAAATTATAAGGAAAATATATTTTATAATACAACATATTAAACTATCATTCATATATTGGATTGCAATGTATAATTGAATTTATACATGTATCAAAATTTATATATGTATGTTAAATTTATATACATATAAAAATATTTATATATATAACGCAAAATATAATTATTTACGTACTATTTACTTTTTATTAATAATTTTCATTATAAATTCTCAATTTTGATTTCACCGAACATTCGCACATAATATTTTGCAAAATTTAATTCATCTCATATTACAGAATCTATTTTTTATTACACCGAAATAATTCAGTAATTATAATGGATGATAATTGTGGAATCTCTCGTTACTCGCCCTATTCTGGTATCTCTAAAATTTTCCCGCGAAGTATGGCTGTGTATAATTTAAGCAATTGCCGTTGCCGCATGCGACATACATGCAATGTAATTACGTTGAACGCTCTTTATCGGCATGAAAGTTTAAAAGCCCGGTTTAAAAGTCTCATATTTCGAGTTGGGAGATTTTTATGATTTTCATACGTTTATATTTTACGATAATGCTTACGAATACTTGCAGTATAATATAGCAGGTTCCAATTACGTTAATGTAACCACTTTTCATTTTCGTGATATTAATATCTGTAAAAATGTATGCTGGGAAACGTTCCAATCTATTGATGTCACCCTTGCTTTTGAATGAATAAAAAAATACAAATCAAAATTTTTATTAATTAAATCCTTCAAAGCTCATTTCAAAAGAAATCTTGTTACTGATAAAATATTTTAAAACAAAATCAAAATGTAAAATATATATGGAATTTAATGATATTAAAACACACGGTTCTTGTTCAAGAGAAATTGTATGGTCTTACGTAAGGTACGATGTGATGTTGTATATCGTATACCGTATCTTTTTGTCGATTATCTTACGTTCAGAATAATTGATCTATCATTATAATTGTTTAGAAAATTAAAAAATGTGATAATTATAGTATGTACAATAAAATCATGATTTATTAAAAAACTTACAAGGCAAATTTAATCACGTCAAATGCGATTGATAAAATATAACATAAAACAATTTTGATTAAAAAATTGCATTTTTCATATACTTGTGTGCTCATAATCATTTTTTCCATTTTTAATATATTTTCGTAAAATAAATGGTAAAAAATATGTCATATATTTTTAAGAAAATATTTACTACAAGAAATTGTGTTTCTTTCTCTCTCTTGGAAATTGAAAATTTAGCTACACGTGCACATTGTATGAGGATCATAAATAGCAGATTTCTCTCGTAAAAGTTCCATATGAAAACATCAAAACTATAAACTCGTCTATATTTTATGAGCCGGCTACTATTCCACGTTGCATCGTACAAATGCAAATTTTGCGGGCGTGTCTTGTTCATGCGTGGCAAATCGCGACGGCATTGCATTCTAAGCACCGTACTTAACATCGGTTATAATGAATATTGTAAACGCCTTCGCATTTGCGAAATATTTCAATCGCGAAAGTCATGTTATCGAAGAGCACTGTAATTTGCTAAAATAGTTAAATGTAGAATTATGAATTTGCATTACATGAGCAGTATTTTACTAGATGTTAAAAAAAAATTATGACACAAAATAAAAAATGTATTTTGAAATACATTTAATAGATAATAAAATGTATTATCGAAGAAAAAGGATGCATTTTAGTTGCTTTTTTCAACTACCAAGATTAATTCTTTACACTGAAAAGACAATCGAGAAGGAAAATTGTGAGAAATGTAGCGATAGTATTCTTGGAAATCATCGATAGAGAGAATGGTGCAGTCTGGGCCAGCAAATTCTGTACGAAAATTTTTCCTGGAAAGTTTTATATATATATATATATATATATATATATATATATATATAATCTGAAATATATAATCCATTCCCAGGAACAATCAGAGCGAGAAGATGCATAGTAGCGCAAGCACATATTAAAGGAGAAAGAGCGAATGTCAAAAGGAGAGAGAGACAGGAAAGAGGGGGATGATTTCTCGCGAAACAACTCACTGACCACTCGACGAAGGCAATCGCAATGATCGGCTCGTCCGATGGAAACGAGATACCGGCGATATACAATTAAGAGAGCACTCGCAAATGCTTCCCCGCGGATCCTTCTTCTCGCGAATCGTCCTCTCGCGGGACCAGCGCGCGATGTTGTAACTTGTGCACGATACCAAGCGCCATTTTTGCGAAAATATCACAGAAACCGTCGGCGAAATTTTCTCACCCCGCGAGAGCGGGGATCCTACCGGATGTAAAATTAATCGGCGCGTCGAGATGCGCGATCACGGCGAGTCATTCGCACGGGCCGATAACGGAGGCCAGCCGAATTACCGTGCGCCTCTGCGAACTTACGTGCTCGTTGCTGAGCGGATGGCCTGTGACTGACACCCTCGATCCGCCACGCGCCCTCGCGCAGAGCCGATGCTGCGAATTCCAGGCGGTCGCTCGCGCGCAGGTCCACGCACCCGCACCCGCACTCGCCCCCTTGCACCCGCACCCCCGCATCCGCACCGATGATCCTTTCCTTCCTTCGCGTCTTTCGCTACTTCCTTCGGCGGATTCTTTTATTTCCGAGCACGACGACGGGGAGGAATCCCGCATTTTTATCTCCTGCTAAACGTCCCTCGCGATTGCGTTCGAGTCTCGTTTCCTAATCGTTACGTTTCCTGCGCGAAATTTCCTACGTGCGTCAACGAAATAGTGATATCAATATTAAGGTAATCAAAGGATTTTTCATACGTGGAGAGAATTTTTTCTTTCAATTTACCCGGAATATTATGGTAATCGTAGAAATATGGTATTGGAAGAATTTTATAAGAGTTTCTCTGATTATTATTTACCACAAAAAATGTTAACATGTATATAGTAAAATTAATCGAACATATTTTATATATCTTATTGTGATAGATATGTTCCACGATTACCATGATTTTCAAGGTAAATTCTGAGACAAAATTCTTCCTGTATATGAGTTTGTATTGTATATAAATATTAATTTAGTCATACAGTAAAGATATCATCCTTTTTTCTTTTACATTAAATTGTTAAAATATTACGTTAAAATCAAATTATTTATATGAAACTTCTCTTTTAATTTTTTAAAAGTAAGAGAAATTTATTTATATCACTATTCTCTCTTATATGCAACATATTTAAATATACAGATTTTTCCTATCTTCTCAGTTTTACTTCGAGACCTACTTGCTCAATGTATTGATAATAAGAAGACATTTCTCGTGATATTTCAACATTTATTTATTAGCTGCTTTTTCCCTTCTTCCTTTCTACAATTTCTCATTATTTCTATATATACTAAAAAGTTTCGTCTTAACTTTTATTGTAAGTGTAGTAAATTTGCAATGAAACTCTTTTTATCAATTGATCTTTCGATCATTTTTTCTCCCATCTCTAAACTGTATTTTTTTATGCAAATAATATTCTTTTAAATTATGCAGAAATTCGAACAAACAGAAGAAAAATTTGTGTTTCTCTTGTTAAAAACGGTTCCCGTTAAAAATTTTGTGTTTAAATATTTAACACATTCATGTATTAATTTAACATATTGCTGTTATGTTAATTAAACTTAAATGTTGAATTATTAATATATGTTCTGTTTTATTACAGTGACAAGATCTGTTAAAATTTACAGAAAAAATGTTGATTTTTCTATTTATATAAGTGCGGATGATAACATCTAAAATTAAAATATTTTTAGTTAATTTTTACATTAAAGCTATGTTAATTTTACACCAAATTTATTTTAAATTATTTGAAGTTTTGCATTTATTTTGTTAAAATATTAACACAGTATTTGTCTCCATTTAATATATCTTTATATTTTATTAAATTAACACAACAATTTCTGTGGACCTTTTGAGACATGTGATATCTGTTCAATTTAACACACATTTTTCAACCGTGAACAAATAGATAAAAAATTCTATTTAAAAAAATCTGATCTTCTAACGCAATAATGCGACGCGCAAATAATAAATAGACACAAACAACAGCTATGATGAATGCGAGGAGACGATTGTTCAACAAAAATTGAAAACACCGAACCGAGCACAATGTGCTTTATATCGAACCAAAGGACGGTAAAGTTCCGAGTAGTTGCTACGGGCTTTTGTGAATTCTCCATTGTTAAATATCGGCAGGTGTCAAATGCACGAGCTATATCGTATAGCACGCATTACGTAAATTACTTGCGAGAGTCCCTTCGCTTCCTACATTGTTTCGAACGATAGATTTGTCTCATCCCTATCGAGAGACAGAGCGTTCTTGCTGCAAAACCGTTTCGCGACGCGGATGGCGTCATCCGCGATCGTAGCCTCGAAACTCGTCGGCAGTTGAGAAAATTCATGCTGCGCGAGAGAAGAGACCGTATCGCACTCTTGACATTTCGCTTTGCACAGTCGCTTTTGTCTGGTCGCGATGTAAACCACTCGTTATCGAGCTTTTTCTCTGCTCATTCCTCGCTTTGTAAAATCAGCGTTGACAGACGCTAAAGAGACGCTGCCGACTGCTGAAATGCCGTCGACTGAATAAAGTGTTTCTCTTATTTCGCGATTACTGCACGATTATTACTGCATTCTACATCATCAGTTTAGCATATAAATAATAAAATAATATAGTATAAGGTTTATTAAATTATTCGAGTTATCGCGCGACTGCTAAAAAAAATCTCGACTTATATTTCTTGTTTCGTTTGCGACAAGTTTTCTATCGCTATTTAATATATGTATGTTTTAAACAAATTCGCGATAATTAAACACGTTTATTGTCCAGTTTATTATTGATCTTGTCGTTATAATTATCTTTGTTCTAAATAATATTTTATAAATCAATATAATTTAAAAATTTAAGAAATTATTAATTATATATAAATTATTAATAATTGAATTTATATAAATAATAAAATATATACGTAACACTTTAATTAATTACGCATTAATCTGAGAAAAAAAACATAATTTCAAAAAGATTTTATTTTTAATGATAATATAAGTGCATGAATATACTTATTATATGTATTCGTATGTGAATATATTGTTATAATAATCAGCAGATTGTTATGTAATAACTACTATTTTTATTGTGCAGTGAAATTAAAATTTACGTAAAAAAATTTGCCTACAAAAGATAGTTTGATCATTCTATTTATACGACATAAAGTAGTATAGCATTGTATTAAGCAGACGACGTCTGACTTCATATGCAGTTTACTATTTTATGCATTAGAATGAGAAAAAAGTCTGAGTTTAATTATACTGAGAAAAAAGTATGATTTTTAAAAAGATTTTCTTTTTTAATGATAATATAAGCAAATATATTGTATATATGTGTATGTGAATATATTGCTATAATAATCAGCAGATTGTTATGTAATAACTCCTACTTTTATCGCAAAGTGAATTATAATTTATATAAAAAAATTTGCCTGCGGCAAAAGATAGTTTGACAATTCTATTTATACGAAAGTAGTAGGTATAGCATTGTATTAGGCAGACGATGTCTGACTTTATATGCAGTTTACTACTTTGTGCATTAGAATAAGAAAAAGTCTGAGTTTAATTATACTGAGAAAAAAGTATAATTTTAAAAAGATTTTCTTTTTTAATGATAATCTAAGCAAATATATTGTATGTATGTGTATGTGAATATATTGCTATAATAATCAGCAGATTGTTATGTAATAACTCCTACTTTTATCGCAAAGTGAATTATAGTTTATATAAAAAAATTTGCCTGCGGCAAAAGATAGTTTGACCATTCTATTTATACGAAAGTAGTAGGTATAGCATTAGGCAGACGATGTCTGACTTCATACGCAGCTTACTACTTACTTGCGCTATGTATACGATCAATATTTATCAATAAATCATGTTTTATTCTAAAGATTGCGTTAACATTAACGACTAAAGCAACGATGATAAAGACGACGATAACGATAAAAGTAATGATAACAATGATGACGACAATAGATTAATCATTAATAATAATAGATTAATAATTAATACTAATGTAATAATCTAATTAAATGTGATATTATATTAATCAAAAAGGTATCTTAATATCATTACTAAATAATTGTCACGTATCAATACTCGATGTAATTAATAGGTATATAAAAATTATGCAATTCTGTCAAATATCATTGATCAAGTATCGAGGCTGTTTAAAGGTCGACGTCAGGAATATATAACTTTTATGAAATGTCGTTATCAATCCATAATCCAACTCGTCGATGCATCAACAGCCCGGCGATATGCATAATACATAATCGTGTGTTGCGACACTGGTATGTAACCTTTTATAGAGGGTGAAATTGTCATACCCATACCATATCTCACCTCTGTGGTGCTTAAACAAGAATCGGTGAATAGGATTGCGCGAGACATCGAACGTTTCTAAAGGCACCGAAGTGATTTCAGGTGGACACAGATAAATACAAGCATAGACGGACAGGTGAGTATGATATCCCGAATGCGCGTGGCTGTGCATGTGCACAAGTAGTACAACAGTATCATAGTACCGACATATATACCGGGTGACAGGAGGACGTCGGTAACCCGTTCACGACTCGAGAGAATTGCAAATGTGTACCGACTGACGCAATGGGAGCTTTTCCGACAGCACAGCATCCCTTCCGAAAGCTTTCCAAGGGGAAAACAGTCAGGACTTACCGACGGTATGCGAAAGTTTACGGTATGCAACGGACTTACCTGCGAAAGAAAGGAAGGACCGCGCGAAAAATAAGAGACTGGAAATTTTTTCATGACCCATTGATGTACCGTCGATTATTATAGCGTATGATTCAACGAAATCATTGAAATTATTGTCGGTGTTTTTCAAACGCAGTATTCGATTTGGAGTAATGTGCTAAATTAGTGCACAAGGAAAATTTTCTCTTTGAATTTATCCTGAAAATCACGGTAATCGTGAGACAATATATGGTATTGAAAGAATTTTATAAGAGTTTCTCTGATTAATATTTATCACAATAAAAAATATTAATAGATATCACAATAAGCAATTAATATGATATACGATACATTGAAAAATGGTTAACTTGGCACCTTTCAACTAAATTACTATTTTGTTAATTAAACATATATTAGTATTTAACTCAAATATACGTTTTATTAGATTTCATATGTTATATTTAATTTAAATATTTTTATACGTTTAGTTAATAAAATATTTAATTGAAAAGTTTAGTCGAGTTAAAAAATTTTTTTTCAGTGTAGATGTTAATATTTTACATAAAAATATCTTATTGTGATAATTTTACTATGTAAAATATTAATATTTACCACATTTACATAATAAATTTTACCATGTGTATAGTAAAATTGATCATATGTGATAGATATATTATTTTACATAGTAAAATATCTATTAATAATATATAAAATATGTTTGATTAATTTTATTAATATACATAGTAAAATTAAACATACGATGATATGATTATATATGATATATATAATAACAGATATATTAATATTTTACATAGTAGAATATCTATTAATAAGATATAAACTATATTCGATTAATTTTATTAATGTACATAGTAAAATTAATCGAACATCTTTTATATCTTATTGTGATAGATATTAATATATTTTATTGTGGTAAATATTTAATCAGAGAAACTCCTATAAAATTCTTCCAATACTACATTATTCCATGATTATCATGCTTTTCAGGATGAATTCTAAGCAAAAATTCTCTGTGTATAATTCACTATCGATAATGATTTGGTTTTATATTGATGTTGTAATATAAATTTGCGTGCACATGCGTGCGAATATGAATATATTGTGAATATTCGAATGTATTTATATATATACCGTTGTATCGCATATTTTTGTCCGTACGTCAATCTATAAATTAAAGTTTAAGAAGGCATTAACTTTTTTTCGCGTCTTCTCCCAAATGATTCGCATCTTTCGCGTATCATTAATTTTATCAATATAAAATGTTTCATTATTGCTGTCGTATGTAAGAATCGATATATCAAAGATACATAATATTGCATTATAAAATAATTAAAGTTGAGATTGTCCTAATTATTTGTACTATTTATAAGATAATTAAAATCATATTAATTGTAAATATGATTGTTAAGTTGCACTGTTAGTGCTAATTGAAAACCATTATAATTACTGAATAATCAGTAATTATGACCCATGAATAACATAAATTATAGTTCAAATAATTGTCCAACATGATTCATTATAATTCTTTTTATAAATTATCGTTTCCACATAAATTATAATATAACACATCTTCATAATCATTTCCATAATTTATGGAGCAACACTTGTAAATGTGTGATAATCGATTTTACTCACCAATCGATATATCGCCGCGTTGCATCATCGATTCGATTATCTCGATTACTTCGTTCCTTCCTGATTCTTTCTTTGCTCCAGACAATTATAGTATTTTTGGTTATACACATCCACTTGCGTATTATGTATTTTTGTGTATAAAATGTCTTTCACTAATTCAACACTTTTACGAAATTAATATTAAAAGATGCGTTATAATTGCGAATAATTGTACGGATTAATAGAGATACAAATTCGCTTGTTTAATTTAAGGCACTCCCGACACTTATTTACCGCGAAATAATTTATTTGGACGGGTAAAAAAAGACGCGAGAGATACGAAAACGCGCAATTGATACAATCTGCACTCGAAAAAGTCCTGAACGGTTATGGAAGATTTAGGGAAGGTTGGAGAGAGAAGGTAGGTGGAGTGGGGGAGCAGTGAGCGAGTCTCTTCCAGGAAAAGTCAGACCAGGCTAGTCACAATAATCCTTCGTGATCCAAACAGAGATAAGCGAGGAGCTCGAGCGACGCTTCCGAGCGTCTGAAACATAATCTTCACGACGAAACTTCAATAAAAATAATATGTCGACACGCAGCGAAAGTACGATGCACCGGCACACGGAAGACGAAACGCGACTAACTTCACTAAATTACTTGTTTCCCGCGCGTTACCATGACGACGAAATTTTCCGCGCGAAATTATTATTAAAATTGGCGGCAAATAATCGCTGTTCGAAATTAATAATATTAATATTAATATATATATATATATATATATATATATATTAATATTAATATATATATATATATATATATATATATATATATATATTAAATATTAATATATATATAATATATATATATATATATATATATATATATTAATATTTAATATTAATTTATTAATTGATTCGGAATTTCGAACACTCGTTCGCGCAAATTACTTTTGACAGACCAAAAATACGAGAAATAATTAATCAGATAATTAATCTATTCGATTTTAAATCCAAATGCGATGTAACTGTTACAGAACATTGAGAAGGAATTAGATGGGAAAAAATAAAGAAATACGTCACACCGGATAAAAGCATTTTCTGCCAGGAAAAAAGAACCGGAACGCAAAAATCCTGCGTTATACACAGCGATAATTCATTAATTCATGTTTCACGGTAATTAAAACTTTTGAATTCCGGCGCCGTTTTGGTAGATAAATCACGCACAATGTCACTTACGAATATACTGCGATTACGCGAACTAATTAATACACTAAGGCGACTACCTGTTGTACATTTCGACACTCGACACGCAACAGTCAAAAACATACGAAAAACGGAAAAAGATACGACGCGATCACGCGTTTTAATACGACTGTTTGGTACGGAATACGAATTTGGCAGAGTGGAGTGGGGGAGAATGGGGAGTGGGAGGAGTGGGGGTGCGTCGGGGGAGGGGGAAGAGGGTGACATGCGTGCGCGTAAGGACATAAGGACACAACACATCTTTTGCGACGGAATAAAGTTGTAGAAATCTCGATCGAAATAATAGTTAAATAAGAATTATATTTTTCATAGCGCACACGCAAGAATATAACGACGCGATACATCGAAACGTGAAATCTAATTGTTAGAGTAGTTATGTTTTAAAGCAAATGCTTTATAAATATACATATTTTAAAAATCATATATCAAAGAATTATATTGAATATATGGAGATGTATATTTATATATATGTATTTATTCCATTTATACATATATATAAATTTATGTTGGCACTATATATGATATTTATGTTGGCAGAAAGCGCCACTGTAGAGCAGGGTTGTTAAGTTTAAAACATTTATGTTACCAACCCTGAATAATTTTTTGCGCGTATCGTAAAAATTCAATTTGCAAAATTCAATGCTTTAATAATTTATTGCATAACACAATATACCTAAATTATTCAATATTGAATCACAATTGTGCGTATTTTCTCTCCTCTCTTTTAATTAATATTTGTAATTCCACAAATAATATTTTAATTAAAACATATTATAAATTACTAAAATAACATTAGTATATTATCAATTAATTAAAATGTGTATCGAATTTGTACATCGCGATTAAGCCTTAATTACAATTTACATGTATTTCATCTCAATGGGTTTGTTCGTTTTAGTTGCACTATTGCACTGTTGCAATAAATTATAATAATGAAATAAATGTGTATTTTTTTACTCTAACTTATTACACTATAGTGTAGCAGTGCAGTTAAAATAACGAACAAATCCAGTATCATAAATAGTGCCAAAATATATTTATCATTTATATATAAAAATAATAATTTTACTATTTTATATATATATATAATCGTACGCGAAATATATTACTAAAACGTGTTACGTGCCGTACCTTTGTTTTTATATATATTTACTATATAGCATTATTTCTTCAGTAAAATAATTCTTATTTCGTGCTTTAATATTATTTCGCTTTAAGAAATAAAAATCGAGCGTTGAAAACGTCGCTCGAAAACGACATAAAGTTTCGCTTTTTCCGATTCCGAGAATTTGGTCTCGGGGTTTTTCCAAGAAAAAGTGCGCCTAGATGTGTAAGTGTGTCGAAAAAAGTCAGACACCAGGAACAAAAGAGACAGCGATATTCGGTAGCGAGTCTCTCTCTCTCTAGTCAGCCGACACAAGCAGCCAATCATAGGCAAGGACTATTTCTTTCTTCGTCTCTCCCTATGTCTTCTCCTGTCTTGTCGTCGCTCCAAGAGGGGGCGCATGGTGCCCCCGTTAGAAAAGGACAACCGTTCAAAAAGCTCTACGTCCTTTTCTCTCGAGTGGACATCTAATGTTCAAACTTTTTCACGGCAGTTAGTAATCGTAACGAGCAGCGCGCGGTCGTCGAATCTTCTTCGGGTGTTTCTCGCGTTTTATCCGTCGAAAGTCGAAAGTTTCGAGTGCCGAATCTTACAACGGGCGATTATTTCGGTATATGTATTCGTTATTATATTCATTAGTCCGCGCAGTCGCGACACGGGTTTCTCGATATCATTTATTCGCGACACTTTCCGAGACTGCAAATGGCGGAGTTGGAAAATTTCAGTCTCCCCGGAGCGCGAATGAATTACATCGCGTTGTAATGAAATATTATTGTTCATCGCAGTTAATATCGCGCAGGGTTTCTCGCGTCTTCCCGAAAGAAATACGCTCTAATTTTCGACATTCGTCGACGTGATTTCCTATCTTTCCCTCGTCCAGCCGATCCTTCCTAATTTTTCGGGATTATTGTAGATCGCATCGGCGCGAAATTAATTGAATAGCATTCGCTTCGCCATCTCTCGCATCGTTTTTATTGATCGAAAATTGATTTCCGCGCGTGAAGCAGCATTCGAAATGCCGACTCATAATTTTTCGCAGCGCCGAAATTACTTGCCGCCATATGCAATAACAAGTTTCCGCGGGAAATATTTCGTCGCCTTGGTAACGCGCGGGTAACAAGTAATAAGTATATTGGTACACCTGTGCCCTGTATTTTTTCTGTATTCGTCGTGCTTTCGTCGCGCGTCTAGAAGTGATTTTGATTAAAATATCGGATCGTTTGCGTTATCGTGAGAGTTTCGCGAGTGAAAATGCGCCGAATGATAAAACGGGCGATTATTTCGATGCGTTTATTAATCGCGATATATGTTTCTCGATACTTTTGATACTCGACATAATTCGGCTGCCGAGAGATTGCAAATGGCGGAATTCGAAAGTTTCAGTTTCCGCGGTTCGTGAAAGAATAATTAATGAATTCTCGTCGTTTTTCGCGATTAACGCGAGACTCTCTTTTATCTTTGTTTATATCGCGAAGATTTATTGTGCTCGCATTTTTCTTCTATTAAAAATCTTCTAAATTTTCCGTAATCTTTTCCCATTAGAGCACGGAATTTTGCGTACAAACGAGTGTCGGGAGTGTCGAATTAAACAACGGGCGAATATATCAGCGTGTCTAATCGCGAGTGTAACGCGTCTTTAAATATTCGGTAGTGAATTAATATGCGGATCGCGAGTGAAAATTAGTGAATTAATAAAATAAGAATTAGTGAAATAAAAATTAGTGAATTAGTGAAATATGTCAATCAATGTGGATATACAACCAAATGGATATACAACCAAATGGATATACAACTAAAAATGCAGCGAAATATGCAACGACAACGCATCGACCGAGTGAGTCGATGATTCATTTTATTTACCTGATTGTTGATTTATTGGCTACGAGTTCGAATTATTTGATAAATGAGATTGCGAGGGTCTCTGTTTTTTTTATATAGGATTTTTGATATTACAAGATTTTTATACTATTTAAATTTTTATTATTATATATTATATTTTTTATTCTTATAAAATACGTTCGTGATATATGTATACGCGATTGTATATACGATAGATTTTGATTATTTTTATATTTAATTAAAATAAATATATTTTTCGATAAAAATTTTTGAATGAATAGTTAAGAAATATAAATTTGAAAATAATTTATTATTATTTTCGATAATAAATTACCAATTTTTTCACCTAATCTATCTACTAAATCAAAATAATAATCAGAATAACGAGAATTATTGAATTCCTAATTAATAATACACCAATATTTAAATATATCGTCAATTGAATATCGCCATAAAAAATTGCCAGATAATCAGCAACTTGCGCGTGAAGAATTTTAAAAATTTTGTTTGAAAGCCGAAATTCGCACGCTCTGCGCGCTTCTAAGAAAACTTTGCAAAGTTATGTACGTTATTACTGATTCATAATCTTGATGCGTAATTAATTCAGTAAAATGCATAATACGTAATCGCGGTACATAAGAACGAAGGTGTCATACCCACCTGTTGGTGCTTAATAAGAAATAAAGATTGCGCGAGGGAGATATAAAATATTTGTAAGAGCATCGGTCGAATATAGACATGAATATATAAGACAGAGGCGTGAGTAGTCGTGTTTCAGATTACGCGTCCGCGAGTAGTAAGACATTAACATAATACCGACGTATATACCGGGTGACGCGAGTGCGTCGGTAACTCGTTCACAAACGGATTCTCCTTTGCGTTCACGTTTATACCGACGCTGCTACGGTAAGGAAGCTTCTTCGTAGAACGACATCACAGCACCGGAACCGGAAATCTTTCGAGGAGAAAAAGCTATGACTTACCGACGATTTGTGAAAGCTTTGCTTACGCTGTGCAATGCACTTACCTACAAAAGAAAGAAAAAGACTCATTAAAAACAAAGTTTTTTATTACAATATACCGTCGATTGCGGTATATAATTTAGCGAGGCGATTAAAATTATTAGTTTCAAAGTAATGTGCACTGAAAAACAATTTGTTAATTCGACTAAACCTTTCGATTAAATATTATTTTTTTAATTGGATATATAAAAATATTTAAATTAAATATATTAAATCTAACAAAACGTATAAATATTTGACTTAAATACTAATATATGTTCAATTAACAAAATAGTAATTTAGTCGAAAAGTTTAGTCAAGTTAACAAATTTGTTTTCAGTGTGTGCTATAAATTTGCAGCCTCGCCTTTAAATTTTTTTATATGTATATATATATGCATACGTTTTTTTACACTTTTCTACATTATATAAAATGCCGACACAAAATAAATAAAATTAAAAAATTAAAATTCAGAACAAAGATATCGAATTTTTTGAAAATAATATTTAATTTTAAATATTTTAATGCT